GAGATATCTCAAGGCATTCAAAAGCTAACCCCCAAATGCCTTCAGTCAATTTTGTCCATCCCTCTCCCCAAAATGAAAAAACAGTTACATAAATTTCTAGGGGCAGCTGGTTATTGCCACCAATGGATTCCTAATTTTGCAGCCCTTGCTAAACCCCTATCTGCTCTTCTCCCAGATATCACTCCAGAGCCTATTCCCTGGCCGTCAGAGGCATTAACCTTCTTTGAAGCCTTAAATTAGCTTTGTCCACACCTCCAGCTCTCGGCTTACCTAATTTTGGCAAACTTTTTCATCTATACTGTCATGAAAATAATGGAATTCCTGCAGGCATTCTAGGACAATCTTTTGCCTCTTAAATACATCCTATAGCATATTTCTCATGCCAACTAGACTCTGTGGCATCAGGTATGCCCCCATGCTTATGTGCAGTGGCTGAAGCTGCCACCTTGATTGACAAAGCCAGTACTTTGATGATGAGGATCAAGGCTGCCCCAGGGAGAGATGCCCAAGGCATCCTGCCCTACACACCGATCATCCTCTAGCAAGCATAGGACGTCCTGACATGATCCGACCTCATTCCTATCCAAAGTTATAGGGCCACCCAATAATCAGACCCCACCTGCACTGATACCATTTTAATGATTTTTTTCATGATCTTTCCTTTGTCTTGTAAAGAAATAACTCATATACCCATGCCTTATAAATTTAGCCCTACCCTCAACCCATTGCAGCTCTTTACTGCCCATGGGTCCTGTCCCCACGCTACTCCATGCTATTCTCTGAATAAAGGAGCAGTACTACCAGACCTTGAGAGTCCAAGAAATCTTTCTTTTGACTCCTCGACTCACCGAGCCTACATCATTTAATATTAGGCTCTCCCATTCATTTCTAGGTTCCCCATGCTGTGTCTACTATTTTGCAAGTACATAAGACCCAATACGTCTCTACATGGCAACAGACTACCCATGAGCAGGCTCTTTTAACCAACCCTTTCATCATCTTACATCATTGTAACACTTTAAATACAGCTACTTTACTGCCTCTCCCTGAAGATGAAGAGCCCCGCTCCATTCCACACAATTGCCTTACAACTATAGAAATGGTCTCAAAGCCACAGGAGGATCTCTCAGACATCCCTTTAGACAATCCAGACTTACTTCCCTTTTGTGATGGCTCCTATAAGTGCAATTTCCAGGAAAACATAATAACTGGTTATGCCACAGTTTCTCGACATGAAATGCTTGAAGCTTATTCTCTGCCCACTGTAACATTGGCCTAAGCTGCTAAACTCATAGCTCTTACTAGAGCTTGCATGTTAGGAAAAGGAAAAATGCCACTATTTACACAGACTCCAGATATGTTTTTGGAGTCTGCCATGCTCTTGGCACAATTTGGAAATCCCGTGGATTCTTAACTTCTGCAGGAACTCCTATTGCTAATGGATGTTTAATAGCAGGCTTACTACAAGCTATTCACCCACCTTCTAAAATTGCCATTGTTCATTGCTCAGCTCATACTAAAGAGACTGATGTCATATCTTTCGGAAATGACAGGGCTGACAGAGCTGCTAAAGATGCAGCTCACAAGGGACCCCCTTATCCTTTTTCCACCCTAAATGCCAGCCAAACTGCAAGCCTGGGTTCCTTTGCTCATACGATTGTGCCACATAAACATGCCAGTCGGGAAATCATGGAGAATCCGCTTGTGTATCACAACTCCAAGTTCTTTTCAGCATTGAGTCTTATTCTCCAGCCTTGGAGATTATGAGTTGGAAAAGGTGATCTTAAATCTCTCCATGGTGATGGAACAAGAGTTCAACACCACCATGCAAACTTTGAAAACACTCCAGTCAGAGATTAGCAGCCTAGCCTCTGTGGTCCTCCAAAATCGACATGCCCTGGATACACTGAATGCCCAGCAAGGAGGAGCCTGTGCAGTCATCGGTGAAAAGCATTGCTTTTATGTGAATCAAACTGTCACCAGCTCAACTTTTTATATGTGAAACTTCCAGGGAAGTTTCAGAGGAGGGAACTGATGGGGTTCAGGGCAGGCCACCCCAAGATGCGCCACTCTGGTATGCGGATTATTTCGAGCTGAAGACAGTAAAAACTCAGAAGACGACTCAGGAAGAATATTCCACCTTCCCCTGCCTAAGTGCTTAAAAGAAATTTAAAATCAAGGCCTGTCCCCAGGACAAGCCTTCACCATAGATAACTCTGGGTATCAGTAGACTGGGAGGATCCATGCTAAGCCCACTCTTATCCAAGTTCTATTTACCAAACATTTGCTTTTCCATTTTCATGTGAGTTGCCTTCCTCCCCTTTGAAGCCCCAAATCACTACCCCAAATATCCTCCTTGTCTGTAGCTGAAGATACTTAAACAGGCAGACTTGGCTAGATGGCTGGGCTACTCAGTTTTTCCTGAGTTTCTCCCATGTACACATGCTATTAAACTTTGTTTGATTTTCTCCTGCTAACCTGCCTTTTTAGTTATTTGAGTAGCCATAAGAACCTTAAGAAAGAGGGTGGGAATGCCCCCACTTCCCCAACAAATGCAAGGCCCTACCTACTCTTTATCAAGCTTTTGGCTTATCAACACAGGGGGATAGTGGTACCATCTTATGATATGGAGAACACTAGGGAAAAACATACTGGGGGAACAAAAAAAAATCAAGACCCCCCCATTTGGACATAAACCATTGAGATGCCTATTAGACAGCTGAAATGTTCTGGACACTTGTTCTAGGGAGGCCTTATTTTCCCTGCCCACAAAGATGGGCTTATTTCTTTTAATCTCTCTAACCTATTTTCCTGGTCTTTTGTTTCACTTTTAAACACCAATACAACAGACTTATTTATAATTTCTCTTGGTTTCCAGAAGTCTGGACTTTAACAGCACCAACAAAGGGAGCATGTTGCATTGAAAAGAACATGCCCTTTGTAGTCAGGAAGATATGTACTCCAGTTCTGTCATCGATGCTTTCAACCTCCATGAAATCAGACAAGCTACAAAAGCTCCTTGACCCTGGCATCCTAACATGCCCCTCAGGGCTTGACAACTGAGAGTGGCCCTGTGCAGAAGAGGATCCAGTTTACTGACACTTGGTAGTAAACAGGTGCTAAGATCGCTTTCCCTTTTCTTCTCTTAAGATGAAGCTTTCTAACAGTGGAATCAGACTGCCATCCCCTAGTTTCCCTTCTTAACTCCTCACCTCTGCTGCCATCAATGTCCCCGTCCCCAATGGCTACAGCATAAAACTCACAAGTCCTCTTCTAGGTATGCAGACCACTACACCAGGTACCTACAATGCATTCAAGCCTGTCTTCCATCAGCGCCAACAAGCATCCACTGCTCCACTCAGGCAAGTCTCTGCTCTGCCCACCTCCCCAGTCCCATGTGCCATCCCCACTTCCAACTCTAGGCCTCAGCTCATGCTCCTCCCACAACCAGAACTCTTCTCATTTCTCTTGGAGGGTTCGAGTACTAAATATCCACTAGGCTGAAGTTCATGTACCATAACCGTCTACCTCATGCTTGGGATTCAAATCCAAATAATACTCAGCTCCTGTCCTCTAAGAATTTAGGGTCTAGTCAAGAAAAACAGACATAATGTAAATAAATAACTTGAAGAATTGTAGGTTTTATAGACTCAGACTCAGAATGCATCTAGCTGTGAGTCTCCGCCCTATCCCACACTTTTGTGGGCCCTTTGCCAAATTAACTTCTCCTCTTCAAAATGAATGTATTAATAGTATCTACTTTAAAGAGTTGTTGTAAAAATTAAATAAGATAATGTATGTAAAGGGCTTAGCACAGTGTCCGGAAGATATGAAAAACTGAG